GTAAAAAGGTCGTAGTCAGATATAAGTTTTCACAAATGTAATCGATTTTCATTCGACAGAAATAGTTTAAACAATTTTAAAGTATAAAGAAATTATTTTAATTAATTAAAATGAATATCAAAATTAAAACTTTATACTGACATAATTTTGTTCATAATATTGACCCTCTTTAGATCGTATTACTGACACCAGTTTTTAAAGCTAAAATACTCCGAACCTGTAGTAAATTCTTAGTGTCAGAATTCGGACATAAGAAAGAAAATTCAAATTTGATTTTAATTAAATAAATACGAAAATAAAAATTTAAATATTTTAAAAATGACGGCATTTATAAAAATACGGATTTTTGACGTATTACTGACACATATGTCAGTAATAGAAGCAGGGTCGAATTTTAGATGTTCCTAATACTGATAGAAATTATTTGTTAAAATTCTTATTTATTTAACGTTTTTACTTCGAATTACTTATAAAATAAGATAAAAAATAATCAAAATATTTAATTTAATATAAATACATATATTTTTAACCCTCAAATAAGTCAAAAAACAATAAAAACAAAATCGGAAAAATTAAGCAAAAAGTATAAGAAATTCTCCAATGCAACCCACTTTTGCTATGTCTATGGAAACAAAACTGATTTATGTTCAATATTTTAGAGTTACTTCAAAACTAAATAAAAGGAAGTATTGCGATAATTTGAATTAATCTAGAAATAAAAAAATATATATATATTGTATAGAGAAAATCTCTTAATAATTATAAAAAAGCTCATATATGTCAGTATTACCGCCACTGTCAGTATTAGCTACACTTACCTTAATGCAAGAATAAAAAAAAGGGAATAACAAAAAGGGAAAATGGTAGAAATTATTAGAAAATGACGTGTGCTGCTGTTTATAAAAAAAAAAAGAAGTAAATTCAAAAATACTTAGACCAAATTTGAATTATATTACTTTTGTATACGAATGATTATCCCCCTCCCTTTCTTTAATTCTTGTTATTATTATTACATATTTATTTTCTTTGTTTTTTATCTTGAATTAATTTTTTTCTTATTATTATTATTCTCTCTCTTTCTCTATGTATGTAGGTATAAAATGTGTTATTCTTTGTTTTGATGTTTTGTTATTCTGCTCTGCTTTTGATTTCGGCACGTGTACAATTGTTTCTTTTCCCTGTATTTTTTTTTATTACTTTTGCATTTTTTTTTCCGTAATGTTTCGTGTTTTATCATTCATTATAATATTATTTGTTTTTGTAATCTTAAAAAGTACCTTGCATTTTACGAAAAAAAAACAAACAAAACAAAAAATAAGCAACAAATATTTCGCATATTATACGTGTAATTTCTAATTGAGATTGCCAATAGCATCGAAAAATTGTTTCGTTAAATTAGAAGAAATACAGGAACTCTTAAATATAGTTTCCTTATAGTTTAAAGTTGACAACTAAAGTTTTTGAATTTCTTCTTGTATAACAATAATTTTTGAGGCTAAAAATTTTTTACTACTCTAACTTATACTTTTAACATGGCGTCATTTATATCAATTTTTTTCACTTAAGAATAGCTATTTTATATAATGATTCCGTCATGCATCATCAATTTTTTGATATTGTATGGTAATCTTATAAACTATTGTTATACTTATATATACAAATATAATACAAAGTCTAAATTTAACATTGCAATAAAATATATTTCGTTACTCCTTATAAAAATATATTAAGCATATTTTATTTATTCAAATTCTTCATTCTTTATTCTTCTTCTTCTTCTTCTTCTTTAACATTTTTAAACAAAATTTTGTAATCTGGTCATGAACGTAAAACTATATTGGTACTTACCGAAAACAAACTGAAAATAACATAAGAAAGAAAATGAAGAGAAAAAAAATTTAAAATGTCACATGATTCTTTTTCGTTTTACCAAAAACAAAACAAGACAAGTAAAACAAGAAGAATATAAAAAAAAAACTCAATAAAATAAGGATAACGTATAAAGGATGAAAAATGTAGGCCGTCAATAAGAAATGCAATAATATGTTAAAAAGAATTTTTTGTCAAATAAGAATGATTTTTCGAATAACAAAAAAAAAAAGAAGAGAAATGAAAAAAATGAAATAAATTAAATTTAATAGAATAGAAAAATAATATCAGAAAATTAATAAATTTCAATTTTGACAACAGAATATTTCTCAAGTGACAAAAATTTATTGAAAATGTCAAAAAACAAGAAATATGAGAATAAAGGATATAAAAATATTGTGTGTGTATGTATGTGTGTGTAAAGAATTTTATTTAAAAAATTTTTTTTTTTTTAATTTTAGTATAAATTGGATTTCAATAATTTAATTTAGATATTTCAATTTAAAAGAAATTCTTAAGTATAAACTTTAATATTATGGAATGGAAGCTGTTATACATATTATAAATGTTATACCATATAAAATTTAAGATTTTTTACTCTTAGAATATTGATATTGAATATTGAGTTTGTAAACTTCTTATAAAAGCATGCATACATTGGAATATTGAGATTTACATAGATTATCGTAAAAATATTTTGAAAAAATTCAAAAAATTTATATAACAAAAACATTACCTCAAGAAGATCTAAATTAAGTTTAAACATTAACAGTTATAATGTCTTAGTCATGCCTTAAACTACATACATTTATCAAATTTTGTTAACGTAGGTATTTTGTTTGATTTGCTGAACAAAAATTTAAAGCCATTTAATTTGTATTAAACAAAATCTATCGTATATAAGTAATTATGTCTAAACTCTGCTTTAAATATAATTTTCAATTAAAAACGGTACAAGAATTGACTGCTGCTTCAATTTATATACTAAAGACTGTACGCATATTACATAAGAAAAAAATAAAATATTTTTTAACGTGGCTTCTCTCATCTAGTATAGGAATACATAATTTTCAGTCAAAACTTAAATATTCTTAAGTGAAAATTCTCACCTACCCCCCTATTAAGAAATATGATTTATTAGATTAAAATTAGGAAAAAATACAGTGATATTATGCGGTGTCAGTATAAAATGTCAATTAAAAACTTAAAAATTTTGGGCATTTTAAGGAGTTAAACGCAAAACCTTGCAGAAAAGTTTTCTAGAAATGATCTTTTGTTAAAAAAAAATGTTGTTTATAATTAAAACATTGTTTTTACAAAAAAACTGTTCTAAATTATTTAAGCATTCATGAGGTTTGGGCTATTTAGAAAACGTGATGAAAGAAATTGAATTTAATACAGAGCAATAATGAAATTATATGATAGGAGCAATTCAGACTTTCAAATGTAATGATATAAAGTGGACTCTGCCGCTTTTTGGAAAGAACTAATTTTTTTTCCGAGATTTAGTTAATTATTCTTTGTTATATACAAACTATAAAGATTATAAATAATTATTTTGTAAATTTATTTGCCATTTTCAAGGTAAATTTTATTTAATTTTAAAAATTTTTCCTTTGAATTCCTCAAAGTTTTCAATAATTTTTATTTTCTATGTGAAAATAATTTTATACATGCGTACTCGTATATATATTGTGATATACTCATAATTATGTATGTATATGTAATTTAAAATAACCTCGATAAAATACAATAACCTTTAGTTTATAAGGAAAATATAATTTTGAAATGAGAAAAAAAACTCAATTTTAAGCTTTAAATAAGGTCAAAAACTTTATTTTTTTTTCATACAATACCAAAAAATTTTTTATATCATATTTTTTTTTTGTATATTTCTTGGTTTCAACTATAAAATATATTGTAGCCAACCATATTTTTATTAAAGTTAATTTTTTTTTTTTTATTTGATTCTACATACAATAAATTATGATAGTCAGACATATTATACTCGCCATACTTAATGTATTTTCTGCTGAAATTCACAATAAATTCTAGATTACTCGTATATACAACAAAATTATTTGTTCCGCAGTTTTATAATGTACGAACGAACATATTGTACATATATCGTATATTTAATATATTGTATGTAGTATGCAATATAATTATATTATATTATAGATTAAAATTAAAAATTCAACATAATATAATAATATACACGTATATGTGAGTATGTTAATAATTTCATGATATGATTATGAATAGATGATGTTATTCTTGTATTGTATAATAATTGTTTATTTTGCTTCTATTACGAATATATAACGAGTGTACAAACCTTAAGTAACTTATTATTATTACGATAATCATCATTGTTATTATTCATTATAGTCATTATTACGATATTCTTTGGTTCTAGTTATGCAATAATATTATATATCGTCACGTGAAATGACAACAATAATATAATTCTTAAAATATATACAAACATATGCACATACTGTATAACAGATAATAGAAAAAACTCAAATGTTCATACAACAATTTTTTAATACACACACATTTTTTGTTTTTCTTTATAATTCTAAAGTTGGGAATAAAACTAAATAAAATATTATTTAGGTATTGATATATGAAAAACAAAATTTGTAATATTATTACAGCATAATAAACGGTAAAAGTTCAATAAGATCAATAATATATTAAAGTGGGGTTCAAAAATATAGTAATTATATGAAAATTATGGCAATACTCGTACAATAACTACAACTTATACAATAAATTATTATTGTAAAATTTCAGTATTAAATTAAATGGGAGGGTAAAATAAATATTAAATAAAATTTATATTTGTCAATTTCGACTTATAATTGCTCGACAGCAATTAATTATTAAAAAAATACTTGGAAACTATATTAAAAGGACACGAAATCGTGAACAACAATTATTTAATAGATAATTTTAATGACAAATATATATACTACAAATTATTTATTGTTAATGTACATATACTGAAACTTCAGAATAAAAGAAAATATTAAATTCCAAATTTTATTTCGCACTTTGTATAATTTTTCAAATTATATCAATTTTTTATTAATAATTTTCATTTAATTTTCTTTTTATTACAGTGCACAAAAAAATACGGCAGCAACAGCAGCAGCGGCGGCAGCTGCAGCAGCATCAGCATACTCAAGTCCATGGCAATGGACAACGGTAACAGCGAGTGGTGAATGACATATAGGGGCTCGTAAAGAGCCCGGAGTTAATGGTGGTGGTAGCGGCAATAATAGTAATTCAATGAATTCTCAACAACAAAATGCGAATAGCCAAAACTCAAACCATAATAATAATAATCATAACAATAATAATAATAATAACAATAATAATAATAGTAATAACAATAATAATAATAACCATAATAATTCAAATAATAACAATAACAATAATCTCAATGCATTAAATAATTTAAGTATGTTTGAACAAGCAACATTACAACAACAACAACAATTTGCTGCTGAAACATTTGGTAATTATACAAATATGATGATGATGAATAATTTTGGTACAAATAATCGTTATTCATCATCACAATCAAATTCATCATCATCAAATTCAAATACAACAGCAGCAACAAATCAACAACATCAAAATTCATATAATAATTCACATAATCAACAGCAGCAAAATCAACAACAACAACATCAAAATGATCTCTTACATCAATCACAACAACAACAACAACAACATAACACAAATCATAATCAACAACAACAAAATCTTCTTCAACAACAGCAACAACAACATCACAATCAAAATAATAATAGTAATAATAATAACAATAATAATAATAACAATAATAATAATTCTGCTGTTAATTATGGTTTCCCATCATGGGCTAATGCTGCATTAGCTGCAGCTGCAGTTGGTCATCATCATCATCAGACGACACCATCAGCAGCTGTAGCAGCAGCATCAGCATTAATGGGTACACATCAAAATTCACATTCATACCATCATCATCAATCATCATCGTCATCATCAACTTCAGGTTCATCATTAAATCCATCTGCATCTACATCATCAACAACATCAAATGTTGCTGCAGCAGCTGCAATTGCTGCTGCAGCAGCACATAATTCACGTAATCATCATAATCCATTTGCAAACTATGATTATAATTATAGAACTGCTGGTGGATATCTATAAAATATAAAACAAACAAAAAACAAAAACAGAATCTAAATAAAATATTTTTTAAATCAATAATTATTATTGTTGATTTAAATAAACTTACATTAAATAGTATATATATTATATTTGTAAAATTTTAGTAAAAATTATTTAATATTTAAAATATAAAAAATTAAAAAAAAACCAAAAAAGAAAAAAATATTAAAAAAAAACTATAAATTAAAAAAAAACAAAACTCAAAAAAGAATTATACAACAAAGTAAACTGAAAATTTTATTAAAACAAAAAAAAATGTAGAAAAATTATATATATATATATTAATAATAAACACATAGATACATACATATATATTTAAATATAATTATAAACAAATATTAATTATATTTAAAAAAATAATAAATAAAAAAAAACACACACACACAAGAAAGTAAAAAAGAAATACCTAAAATAAATGTTCATTCTTATATACTAAATTAAAATAATTTATAGAAAATAACAAACAAAAAATAAAATAATTTTAAATCAATAATTATAAATAAATATACAAATATTATAAATATATTATATTAATAAAAATTAATAAAAAAACAAAACAACTGGAAAACTATAAATATTAAAGAAAAATTAATAAAACACTGTAATAAATTAAAGGAATTTACAAAAAAAAAAAAACAAATAAAAAATACGCTAAATATAATTTAAAAATAAATATATATATATATATATACATTATAAATTTAATACTAGACAACAAAATTTCACACAATAGACATACACAATAAAACAGCAATAAAAAAAAAAAAAGTAAATGAAACAAATTAAAATAATTTTCTTATATTATAAATTAAATGTTTTAATACAAGCAAACAAAACAAAATATAATAATTTATTATATAAATATATTTATAAATATATATATATATATATAGAAAAATACAACTACATACGTATATTATTATAATATACTATAAAATAAATTAATTTATTAAATATAAATGTACCATTTTCCATATTAATTAATATAAATAAAAATTAATGTAAAACTCTATTAGACTTCTTGTATTATATTATATATATATATACATATAAATATATGTTATATTTATAGTATACATTATATAATAATATTATAAATAAAATATAAATAAATTAATATAAATATTTAAGTTTAGTTTATCTACATTATAATATAAATATACAAATAAATACATTTATTAAAATAATTATTTAATTTTAATTTAATATTTAATTTTTTTTTTATTTTTTATGAATAAATTTGTAAGGCTCCATATTTTTTTTTTTTTTGTTTTTCTAAGTTTATTATATAAGTTATAATATTATTATTATGTATAAATATTATTATATATTTTTGTTTTTTTTTAATTTTATTTAATTTAATATTTTTTTTTAATAAAATTATTTAATTATTAGTTATGAATACTTAGTTAGTTTATTATTAATTTTTATTCTTTAAATATTAAAAAAAAAATAATTTTGTATATTAAATTACATTTTTTTTTTAATTATTATTAAATTAATTAATTATATAAAATAAATAATGAGAAAAAAGAGAAAATTTTTAAATTTTATTACTGTGTAAAAAAATTATACATACAAACAAAAACCCAATTATTATTATTATTAATTATTATTAATTATTATTAATTAATTATTATTATTAATTATTATTATATTATAAATTAAATGCAAGAAAAAAAAAATGTTTTTATTTATAATTTAAAAAAGAAAATTGAAAATAAAGAATCATTGTTAAATTTAATATAAAAAATTATATATTATTAAATACAAATCAAAAACAAAAAAAAAATCCAAAAAAAAATCAAAAAAAAAAAAAAGAAAAAAAATAAATATAAAATAAAAAGAAAATACAAAATTTCAAAAATAAAAAAAAAGAAATATTTGGAAAAACTAAAAAATGAAAATAAAACAGAAAAATAGTTAGAAAAAAAAATTTATATAATCTTTTATTTCAAAAATTGAAGGCTTTAAAAACGAACAAAATTTCGCCCAGCTTGAATCATAGAAAGATTTTTATTCTTTTCAAGCGCAGTTTATATGAAACTCCTTTGCATTCAAAAAGCTTCTGATTCGAACTAATCCGCTTTGTTATTTTAAATTCAGAATTCAGTAATTGAGCAAACAATCTTCGAACTTAATTTTTTTTTACAAAAGTTTAGAACACATTAATGTAATGACACTGCATGTGAAAATTAATGTATATGACACTACATGTGAAAACTAATGTATATGACACGGTTTAGGACACTACATCTGGAACGAAGTCTATATTCGAAATATCAGCAGTTGAAAAACAAAAATTTTTAAAACTTGCTCGCCTATATTTTGTTAGTTGCATCAATGAAATTTTATTAAAAAGTATTTTGGTTTTCAATATAGAATTTTGAAAATTCGACAACATTCGACAAGATGGGTATGTAATCAAACTTTCTTTTTAACGAAAATTGAATGAGATTATTAAGTTTTCATAAATTGATATTATTAATTAAAAATAGTAGTACTGTCTTATCTACTTCAACGAAAGCTGACACGAAAGAAAATAAAACTATGACCATTTAGGTCATATGCTATTATTAGTAGGTTCTTATATAGCTAATATACTAACCCAAAAGTACTACATTTTTAAACATACTGTTTTGACAGCCAAAAAAATATTTTACTTTTATAACAAACTGCGTTGTCAAAACAGAATTTGCAAAAACACGGTATATCACCCTGAATTTCTGTCTCTGTAGAAATTGTAGACCAAAGTTTTATATGAACTTGACATTTTATTGTATATATCTATATTTTCTTCTTAGAAATTCAAACAGTCAATTACTAGGACACAAAATGTGTAACTATTATAGAAAAACAATTGCCGAAAGTAAATTTTATGCTTCATTGCACGTAACAAAGTTCTAATTAAATTATAATTAAAATTGCATACAGAAACATGGGTTGGAACAATCTTAAGAAAATTATGAGAAATTTACAATTAAGTATATTTAAAAGAAAGATTTGAAAAATGATTAAAAAATGATTAATTAGAAAATTTTTTCTTTTATTTCTGTAATTACCTTCTAAGTAGGAATAACACTCTTGTACGATTAAAATTTATTTTTAATTTTGTATCACAAGGTCATTAATTCTTTATGAACTTTTAAGAATAAAAAAATAGATAGATAATAATTATAAAAATAATGTAATTTCGAAATTTCTCATGCCAAATGCATAATATTATGTAAGTATATGAAAATTTTTTATTGTCCAACTTTTCTTATGGTAAAATATTGGTTATGGTAAGTATACTATGCAGAAGCTGTGTAACATTAACGAATTATGGAATATTCCCATTAAAAATATTAAAAATTCTATCTACTTTGCAAATGTATATGTATATGTACCTATGTATATACAAAATTGAGGGCAAATTTGAATTTTATATACAGTGATTTTAATTTTCGGTACATTACAAACTTTTACTATGAAAAATCTTAATGGTATGTATTGTATATACATACTTACACTTATAAATACATCCATAAAAGTGCATTTCATGAGTTTGCATTTTAAGCAAGCAAATATTTTTTTTTTTTTTGATTTTAATAAGTAATTCAAGTGAAAGTTGGTACTTGAACGTAATTAATGCAAAAATTTAAAATAATCGAATAATAAAAAAGTATAAAAAAAATTGTATTCCAATAAATCAAGCAAGCATAAATTTGATTAAAATTATATGTACATATGTAAGTATATATTCATAATACATAGTTCTTATATGTGTATACACAATATACGTATATACATAACTACATATTTGAACTGATAAAATTTATATTAAATATTCTTTCTTTCGCTTTGAATATTATACGAATACGAAAATTTTAGTATATTTTTCAACAAATTTGGAAAATATAAATTGATTAATTAGTTTTCGTTCGTCTGTCATACTGGAAGATGTATAACAATTTAAAATTGTTAAAAAATTCCTAAATTCTAAATAATATTTGAATACTTGTCGAAGGATCTGTTATACATAACATTGTATGATAATT